CTGAAATGTAACAGCAACACTGGGACCACTCCCCACTGCTTTGAGAAAAATCTAGTGACAGCAGCCATAGAGGTTTCCATCCTATACGCTGTCCAGTGCTTCCCTCAGCATCGTTACAGCTCCTCTGATGGAGAACTGACCGCTCAGGGCCCGGCACTGCTCGTGCAGTACGAGTACGAGCCAGGACTGTACTATTTCACTACTGAGTAGCAGCAGTAATATAACATCGTGACCTGGGAAAAGAGGACAATGTTGTGTCTCCACCTGCAGACTCCTCAGCACCAGAAATGTAAGAAATCACTTTGACCTGAGAGCTAGCAGGGAACAAGATTTTAGCACTGCTACTGGAGGTGTGACGACTTCAGTGAGGTCCTCTCTGTTCTTGTTCAAACCAGTATTGTAAATGGCCATGGCCAGCCTACAGCTGTAGAAAAATTTCTAACAAAACTAAAATCAGAGAGGCAGACATGCTGCAATGAGGCACATGTGCTACAACAACTTTTTTTTTTTTTTTTGCTAATAAAAAAAAAAAAAGCAAAGACAGGGTTTCTAAAAGAAGCTGGTACTGGTTACCATGGGCATGGCAAACAAACACTCCAGCTTCCAGCTCAAGAAATAAAAGTTCCCTATAAGTGCTGCCTAACAGCCAAAGCACGCAGTCATTCAATAGTCCAGCCTGATTCAAGCAAATGTAGGCGTTCTGGCTGCTTGCCCTTGCCTCGAGCACTGCAGCTGGTAGAAACTACTTTCTATAGGGAAGGGAGATATCCCCTTTCCAACCCATGACACAGATCTAACTCAGCAGTTGCTAAAGGCCTTGGCAAGTTCATTCTAATGTACAGAAGGATGCAAGAAGGGTCACACAGGTTCAGACCAAAATCCCTTCAGTCTAATATTCTGTCCTCAACACTAGATCCCAAGGGAAGAGTAGAAGAACAGGGCAAGCATATACGGATATTTCTCCTAAATAATCTTCTAGCCTTAGCAACTGGTAGTTCAAGGGCTGCCACATCAGCAGCTTTGCATGTAATAGCCCCCAATGGAGTTTTCTTGTGCCTTTTCTTATTTGAAACGCCAAAACATTTTAGCATCCGCCAAGTCTTAAGGCAAAGCAATGTACTTTCCTGTTAAGTGCAGAAGTGCCTTTTTCTTTGTTGATTTTTAGCCCACCTCACCACACTTGCCATGTTAGATCAGACACACATGACAAAGGCAGATTAGCTTCCTTACAGTGGGCTTCCTCAACGCACATCTGCACCGGTGAGCTGCAGTCCCACTGCCTGTTCTGGTTCTTACAAACACACCCAGGTCCATAATAACACCAAAACTATGGAAAAGGCTGGCTACTACTTTCAAGCTAATCACCTGGATGTGCCAGCACAGTCATGGATGCAGGCTATGCCTGGGAATACGGGTAGCTGGGGAGTCTTAGTAAAAGTACTGAGAGAACAGGTATTGGAAGGGAGCATGAGAGAATATCAGTTGCAAATGTACCTCTTGAGTGCATCAGATCTAGGAGAGGGCAGCTCTTGAGGAGTAGGCAAAG